ACAAAAGGCTCCAATCTATTCGTGGGGAGCAGCACGTGTTCGGCTCGGAACCGGACCTAGCATCCCATATAAGGATACGCAGGTATTAAAGCACTGGGGCCATTACCCGGCTTCAGGTGAGAAAACTCTTGAGAAAACTCTGAGATCAACTTGCACCAAGTACTACTGAAACAGCCTCGAAGGGGGTAGGCTAATGCTACCCTGCTTGAACGTAAAAGTTAAAACGCATGGGTAGCATTAGCCTACCCCCTTCGCGGCTGAATTTATGACATGTCGGCCACCCTGATTTGTTCTGTTGCCGACGTTCCGTTCACTGCTGGCTGTCGATGCCAAAATAAATGCTTGGGTACCCGTGACAGCCTTGTGTTGGGACTTGTGTCGGGGAGTTTTCGATACCCGGGACCGGAGTACTTACGTTTGATGTTGTCAATTGATCGTCTGATGCTTAAACCACCAGTACTTGGCCCAGCTATCGGCCGCGGGAAAAAAAAAAAAAAATGGAGTCTAGTCGGATGAATTTGGGCGCTCCTGTAGTAGCCCGTATGTTTCCTAAAATCGTGGTGCGATAACGGGCACGATTCTATGACGTACTGGTGGTTTAACAATTCGGCGTAATTCTTGACTAGGAGTTGTTTTAGTTTTGTGGTGGGGTTTTACTGCTTATGCTTATTTACCTGCTTGGTTGAAATTAACATGTAAGGTTTGTTTCGTTGGTTTTGTTGTATTAGGTGTCGAGTTTATTGAGGAGATGCTGCTTTAGACTTCGGGGATTAGGGGGGTTTGGATTTTGGCCTTCTTCTGTGGCCTGTTAGATTCCCGATCATTTGGAATTGGTAGTTTTGACTTCGTTTGTGGGGAGGGTGTACGTAGGGAGGTTGTAGATGGGAGTAGAGGTTGGTTTTCTTGGCAGAGCTGGTGCCGCGTTTGGGCAACGAGTGTGAAGACTCTGCACGCAGGGACGGGGCTCTGAGCTCCAGGTGGGCCGGGACAACCCTGGTGTCCTTGTTATTTGACTATTTTGATGATGCAATTTGCCTTGGGCACTGGGCCCTGTTAATAAAAGTGCAATGTCGGGGAACAACAACAACAACAACAACAACAACAACAACAACAANTTTTTTTTTTTTTCCGCTGTGACCTTCCCCAGGGGCCTGGACCCATTAGCGAAGTATTCTACCACTCCATTCAGGATTTCGATCACGTGTGGCCTCGAGTGACGCACGGCCGTTGAATAGATCGGATCTCGACGGCCTGGTAGTTTTCGAGCGGGGACTCTAAAGATGCCCACCTCCCGTCCAATGAGATGCGTCAAAAAACAAATAAAAAAACAAAATTGGACATTATAGCTCGTGGCTTTGCGTGGGCGGGAAGTCTGGATTTTATGGACTTGAAACGGGGCCGGGGGGGTCGATTTGACTTTTTTTTTTTTTTTGGCTCTGAGAAATCGAACTTGAAATGTGAAATTCAGATATTGTGGTGGATCTGACAGGAAGGGAGGGATGGCCTGTTAGAGGCATCATGAGATACATGGTGATGAATGTATCCCTATACGCGTTACTTGTTCATCCTCGTGGCTGTGTTCGTGGACACATTTGATTGCCACGGTACATCACTATGAAGACTTACGTGGAGGAGATCGTACCAACCCATGAAATCAGGTGCACGGCTGTTCTTCTTTGTTTTATGTGCCATTTCAATTCATTTTAAATCAGAAAAGGATCCATTCATGCAAATAAAAATTCACTTTGCCTTTTCCAGAAAACCATAAAATTGTGTCACACATCGTAGAATACTTCGCTAGTGGGTCCATGCACGGCCGGGCCACCCGCGAAAACACGGTAGCCTAGATAGGAATGGAATAAAAATGATCGAAAATCTTTCTTTTTTAACAAAGCTACATTTCTTCTGTCTAATTCACCTTTCCTCTGCTTGTTTTTTTTTTTTTTTTTTTTCCTGACAGCAGCCTTTCCGTGCAGGTTGACCGAAACTCGCTCGTGGTAATCGGGACCTGACCCGGCTGGCAGCATCACATCACAGTCCCTGCTGGGATCCCAACGCATAATACACATACGGTCAAGTACTACAGTCTTCTCCCGAATACAGCGCACAGTCATTATAGCTGAATTTGGGCTATTTTTCAGTCTAAATTCAGCTATAATAACCGTTCGTTGTATTCGGGGGAAGACTGTAGGTGGATGGATGGTTTTTCAAAAAAAGTGGATGGATGGATGGAAACTGAAACTGGATGGAAAAGTGGATGCAAATCATGAGCCTGGACGGAAACAGAACTCTCGGTGAAATAATGGCACAAACCTGGAAAGAACCTGGAAAAAACCAAACTGAAACAGACCAGGATTAAAAAAAAAAAAAAAAAAAAGGGAAACTGCGTCGGAGTCACAAAAACGAATAATAATTGCAGTATGGGCCAAGATACAGTTTGCAATTGCAGTTCGGGCAATGTATACAACCCACCTTTCTGGCCAGGTCGGGTGCCCCAAGTGCAATTGCAAACTGTACCTTGCCCCATAGTGCCATTCTAACCCCTTTTTTTGTTGTTTTGTGACTCTACTGAAGTTACCCCTAAAAAAAAAAACTGCAACAAATCTGGTTGACCTGGAGCAAACCAATTTTTTTTTTCTTCTGAAAAACAGATCTGGAACAAACCTGTGTGAGGCTTGAGCCCGCGCAAAGGCCCTTCACGGGGACGCAAACATTCTGTGCTCAGGCCCCCAGCAAGCCCCATACTGCCCTAAGTGAAGGCGGGCCGACATATCCACGTGAGGCCTAGGCTACCAGCCGGGCCGCCTGGGTCCCCGGTGGCCGGGCAGCCCGTGCAAGGACCAGGGAAGGCCCCAGCCAAAAAAAAAAACAAAGGAAATCCAAAAATTCCCAAAAAAAACTATGTTATGCAGAAAAATAAACTGAACAACGTTTGCCTCAGAGTCACATCGAAATTCTTCACCGAATTTACAACAAAAAATAAAACATTTTAAAATATTTATTTTATTTTTATTATTTTTATTATTTTTATTATTTTTGGCCCGGCCGGGCAAGTGACCCCGGGCCACTCTGGTAGCCTAGCTACGGTGAGGCCTATTTCCGACAATTTTTCGTATGTGGGGTATCAGACAGTCGCAGCACGCCAGTTGGTTACAGAGCAACGTGACCCTTCTCTGGCTCCTTCCAGAAGCAACAGCTGCGCTGTACAGTTGAGCCAGGGCTCAGGTGGTGGTCGCGCCCTGGGCACACGCAGTGAGAGGTCGACACATCACGTAGAGGTTGCGGACCAATCAGAAAGCAGCTCCTGCGTCACAGACATGCCGCCAGTCAACGAGATTGCACCGAACACTTGGAGTGGGATACTTGGACGTGCCTAACTGCACGAGGCCCAGGCCAGTATCTGAAACTGGGCCCGGGCGCAGACACTTGGGCCCAACCGGAAGCTACTGGGCCCCCACACGCCAGGCCCAGAGCAGGCTGAAGCCAGGATAACTTTCCATAAAAGGAAACTGAGCGCCCAGGGGCTCAGCATTCTGGCCTGGGCAGGCAATGCGGCCACGATGCTGCTTCGCTGTGCTATGCAGGCAGGCTGGGGCGCATGAGGGCGCTTAGAGGTGAGAGATGGCGCTGCGGTGGCAGCAGGCGCACAGCGGCCATAACCGGGCTGCGCGTGCGGTGGCAGGTGATCGCGATGGTGGTCTTCGGGTAGGAGGCGCATGCAAAGGGGAGACAGGGGGTGACGAAGAGAGGTGTGAGACACATACCTGGTGTATGCTGGCGGTCTGCGTTGGTGATCACGTCACGTACATTGGTCTTCAACTTCGATGTGCTACTACTGCATGAACATAGATAGGCTACGTAGGCTGAGTAGCGTAAAAGCTAGGCGCTGGGCGCCAGACAGTGGGAGCGACATTGGATACTATGTTGGTGTGGCCAGATATCATCGGCATCGACATTCGAGTTCATTGTATTGCGCTCTTATTTGGTTGGTAGCTTGGTGCCTTGTGCTCTCGGCTTGGTACATCATGACTATCTGGATTCTGGACTGCAGCGTGATTTTGAAATTGGGATTTCTGTCTCTATCGCTCTCACTCATATTCCTTGCACCTGCTTGCCCCAGAACAAACAAACCTGAAGGCTGAAACAGACCTGGGACAAACCAACCTGAAACAAACAAACCTGGAATAAACCCGGAACAAACCTCGAACAACCTCGAACAACCCTAGAACAAAGCTAGAACAAACCCTAGAACAAACCTGGAACAACCCTAGAACAAACCTAGAACAAACCTGGAACAACCTAGAACAAACCTAGAACAAACCCTAGAACAAACCCTAGAACAAACCTGGAACAACCCTAGAACAAACCTAGAACAAACCTGGAACAACCCTAGAACAACCCTAGAACAAACAAACCTACAACCAAACCTAGAACAAACCTAGAACAAACCTAGAGCAACCCTAGAACAAACCTGGAACAACACTAGAACAAACCTAGAACAAACCTAGGACAAACCTAGAACAAAGCTGGACCACTCAGCTCTTCAAATTTTAAACTGATAATCAATAAATTATTAAATTTGAATAAAATAACACCAGTGATCGATCATTCAGTTGTACTTTTTCGTCCCTTTTTCATCATCATGAAATGACATCAACCAAGTAGGAAATTACAAGACTTCCCTGGCTCCATCCACTGCACCTAGACACATTCCACACACGTAGGCACTTTCCGAAACTGTGTGCGGGAAAAAAAAAAAAAAAAAACAGAAAAAACTTTAAAAAAGTAGATTCCAATTCCAGTACTTTACTATCCAAAAAAAATAAAAATAAAATAAAATAAATCAGAAAGTCAAAACACATAGAGATCCCAATCCCAGGACTACTGTACTTTATTGTTCAATCCTATGAGATCCTCTCTTTCCTCCCCCCCCCACCTCCCCCCTCCAAAAAAAAAGGAAAAGGGAAAAAAAAGTCCAACCCTAATCCAACCCTATAATATTCACAAATGCTTTGCGGAAATATATTTTATGGGATGAGGTCGCGTTGCAAGAATTTGCGACACACAGTGAAGATGATCCACTTGTCAGCCTGCCACGTCATCATCATGCGATCGACCGACAGCAGGATGCACCATGTAGACACACACCAACTCGAGTCGAGTCGAGTCGCGTTGAGTCGTGTCGAGTCCAGTCGAGTCGCGTTGAGTCGTGTCGAGTCGAGTCGAGTCGCATTGAGTCGTGTCGAGTCGAGTCGAGTCGCGTTGAGTCGTGTCGAGTCGAGTCGAGTGAAGGCCTGTTGACATGTCCATATCACATCATCTGACACATCAATTCGAAATTTTGGAATCGTACAGAACGCAACCGAATGAAGTAGCAGACACCATTCAACTCGTCAGAGTGCATTCCCCCATATCTCTCCGTCGATCTCTTTGCAGGAGCTCTAACTGATGACGTCAACATCAAACACCATAGCTATATAATACATCCCCTCCATCACAAGAGGACAAGACCTTGACGGCATTTGCAACATCCATTGCATTTTAATGAATGCAATCTACCTCCTCACCTCTCTCCACTTTTTACCGGAATACCAACACGTCAATTGCACGACACTGCACTCCTCCTCCTCCTCCTCCTCATTCCCCTCTTTCCCCTCCTCCTCCTCCTCGTTGCCACAGTGTCTCCTCTTTTCCTCCTTGTTGCCACCGACCACACTGCATACTCCTCTTCCTCCCCCTCTTCCTCCTCCTCCCCCTCCTCTTCCTCCTCCTCCCCCTCCTCCCCCCCCCCCTCCTCTTCTCCTCTCCTCCTCTCCTCTCCCTCCTCCCCGTCTTCTACTCCTTGTCCGATCTTTGATATATCCGGACGAGACTTCCTCCTCCTCCCCATCCTCTTCCTCCCCCTCCTCCTCCCCATCCTCTTCCTCCCCCTCCTCCTCCCCATCTTCTACTCCTTGTCCGGCCTTTGATATATCCAGCAGACGAGACTTATCCTCCAAACAGTTAATAACAAGATAAGTAGAAATGTTAACTCCATCATTTTATTCCACTGGAGGTTCAGTGGAGGCTTTGCGAAGGCCTGGTGGGGCGCCTGTACAGAAATTTTGCCCAGTCATCATCCCCTCCAGCAGCTCAGGACTATGCTCCAGCGCCCGTCCATTCATCGAAGAGCTCCCACTGAAATATGCACCAGTGGTCCCCACCTCCTCCTCTCTTCCCTCTTCCCCTAGCCTTCGCCCACTTCACCTTCATTCTCTAGTTGCCACCATAACTCTGAGTTCTGGATGGATGGACGAAGGACCGCTCCTCCCCCTCCTGCTTCTCCCCCTCTCCCTCTTTCTCCTGCCCGCCTCCTCGACATCCTCTTCCTCCTCTTGTTGAGCAGGATAAGACAAGATTACACATCAATCATCGATGTCAATCCCCACAGTTGCTTGTGAAAGACGACACCTCGCATTTTAATGATTTTTTCCTTTCGTGTCATTTTGCGTCTTTTTGCGTCCTTTTGCGTGCCGCCCCCTCTGTTGAGAAATCTGCCCTCGCAACTGTCACTGCAGCTTCTTTTTTATTTTTTTTATTTTTTTTCCACTGCAGCTTCTTGATCTCTCTCCTTTTCTTTTTCTTTTTTTTTTTTGCAGAATTTCATGATCTCATTCCCAGCAATTGCCAGAAACACATCCCACTCAGTGGTGAAGACTCGGTGTTTAGGGTTTGGTGAAGCCTCAATGAAACCACACTGCAGCCTTGGTGAACGCTCGGGGAGCCTAGGCAGTGAAGCCTGGCTGAACGCTCGCTGAAGTGCTCAGTGAAGGCTCGGTGTACGTTCGATCAAGGCTCAAAGAACAGACTCGCTGACGCTTGGTGAGGCTCGCTGCAGCCTCGGTAAAAAGCCTCGGTGAAGGCTTGGTGAAGACTCCGTGAGGGACTCGTTCTCGTCATGGCATGGTGAAAGACGTCAACAATGACATCGGCAGCAATTCCACGTGGAAATGCTCAGGTTCGGGAAGCCCAGGCACTGAAGGCTCGGAGAAACTCCGTGGAAGCTCGATGAAGGCTCAGTGAACGCTCGGTGAACGCTCCGTGAAGCCTCGGTGAAGGCGCGATGCAGTCTTGATGCTCAGAGAAGCCTCGGTGAAGCCTCGGCGAAGACTTGGCGAAGGGTTGGTGAAGACTCGGCGAGGGACTTGTTCTCGTCACGGAATGGTGAAAAAAAGTCAACGACGACGTTGGGCACCACTTGCACGTGCATACACCAACCTGCGTCACGTCTTCATGTAACCGCGCCAGACCCCGTCATGCAGTACACACCACTTTGCCCACTCGCTGGAGGTTCGATGGAGGCTCGGTGAAGACTCGGTGAAGGCTCCGTGAAGGCTCGGTCAAGACTCGGTGAGGGACTTGTTCTCGTCACGGCATGGTGAAAAAAAGTCAACGACGACGTTGGGCACCACTTGCATGTGCATACACCAACCTGCGTCACGTCATCATGTAACCGCGGCAGACCCCGTCATGCAGTACACACCACTTTGCCCACTCGCTGGAGGTTCGATGGAGGCTCGGTGAAGGCTCCGTGAAGGCTCCGTGAAGGCCCAGTGTGGCACTTGTACTTGCCATGGCTTGGTCAAGCAAAGCCCACGACGACGGACATTCCGATCCGATCTGCGACGGTTCATCATGCATAAAAATGACACGCCCAGTCAATCTGCGTAACACCGCCTCGCACGATGTCCAGGCTTCCTCTCCTCTCTCAAATGGCGCCGCCTCCACCTCCCCTCGTCCTTTATTCTTCGCAGGCACTTGAAAGAGTCCTTGCGCTGGCAGACTGGCAGTTGAGTCAAAATACTTCAGAAAGAAATGCACACCTCCCATCCATTGGGAACTGCAGCAGCAATGCTTTGCTGCTGAGTCAGCAATGTTTTGCTGCGGCTGCTGCTGCTGCTGCTGAGTCGGATTTTGGGATGGTGACAACCTCCAGTCTGATAGGAGATCCCAACCTCCGCTGTGCATCAAACCCGTCTGTTGTCGTTTTTTTACGTTTTATTAAAAAATAATAATTGAATCCGTCTTCTTCCTCGTGTTCCTCTCGCTAAACATCCCAGAGGCAAAAATATCACCTCACGTTGTGTCCCGTCGCTCCATGGCGTGATGGTCAACGCTGCACCTTTTGCTCGTTTTTTCCCCATTAAAAAAAAACAAAAAACAAATGTTACAATAAACTATTAAACTTTACAACGAAAATTGAATGAATGAATACCGTACACAAACTCGGCATCGTTCATTCTGCATTCAGAAGCTGTCTTCCTTTTCCCCGTTTTTTCCCCTTGATTCCTGTCGCAATATCCTATCAGTCAATTTAATATTTTATTATCGAACAAACAATCATCGAATCACGCCCGCTCGGATCAGCTCGACTTTTCTCACCAAGCCTCCGCCGAGCCTCCACCGAACGCCTGTCCCCTCCACAGCTGATGCTGCGAAACTCATCTTTCCTTCCTGGCATCCCCTCGCAAATCAAACTTGCTCAGAATCCTGAGAGCATTAAAAGAAGAAGAAGAAGAAGAAAACAAAGAAGACGAAGAAGAAGCAGCAGCAGCAGCAGCAGACAAAGAAAAACAGCGTCGAAAATAAAACCTATTCTGATGAACAAATGTACATAGACGGCAACACCATCCAGGTACGATCATGCTTTCGCTCTTCACTTCGCAGAAGCAGCAGCAGCAAGACACCATGGTGACCATCAAGAGAGAGCGAGCGAGCGAGCGAGAGAGAGAGAGAGAGAGAGAGNAGAGAGAGAGAGAGAGAGAGAGAGAGAGAGAGAGAGAGAGAGAGAGAGAGAGAGAGAGAGAGAGAGAGAGAGAGAGAGAGAGCATGCCTCCTCCTCTCCCAATTCCCATCCCGGTAAACGAGATGAAGTTCATGTCTAGATAACTGCTGCAGTCCCAGAGATCCTTCCTTCCCTTCGTCCTACCGTCCCTCTCAAGGACACAGAATGGGCCCACCCTTGATATGTCTCAAAGTTTTTCCCCCTGGAAATTTAGGCCCTGTTCCTTCCTGCCTCCACGGTACGTCAGTGAGAGTTTGTGTGCATTTCTTATCACTCTGCCGTCCCTCCTTCTCCAAGAATTTTCCTCTTCCTTCCTTCCTCCCCCTCTCCCTTCCCTCCTCCCCCCATCTCTTTCTTTCCCTTCCTTCCTCCCTTCCTCCCTCCCTCCCCCCCTCCCTCTCTCCCTCAAGTATATGTTCGTTTGCATTCACACTTCCTTCCTTCCCTCCTTCCTTCCCTCCTGTTCCTTTCTTCTCCAGCGTGCGTTCACACTTCTTCCTTCCTTCCTTCCTTCCTTCCTTCCTTCCTTCCGTCCTTCCTTCCTTCCTTCCTTCCTCCTCCGTCCTTCTCCCACGATTTGCTCTTTCCATTCCTTCCCTCCCTCCCTCCCTCCCTCCCTCCCTCCACTTACCGCCAGAAGCATACGTTAGTCCGCATTTCAGGCAACACAATTGAACCCTGCCCGTTCATCAAGGTCTAGTTGTTAGTATTGTTATTATATACAACTCGGTGCGACCCTCCGACATCAAAATCCAACTCATGGGTGTGAAGTGGCTCGTATCCATCGCCATCCACCACTTTCACCTCATGACCTTTATCCTCCAAGTACTTAAAGTCGCGACCAATCAACCACATCAAGAACATCCCTACAATGCTCCAGCCTGCAAAAAATATAAATTCCTGCCACTGGTTGAGGTACTGTCGCAGACTGCTAACCGCAAACACCGTGAACAGATTACCTGCACACACAAAAAAAAAAGAAAGAAAGAAAAAGAAAAAGAAAGGAAGAAAAAGGAAAAAAGTCCATCAGGAACAGTACATGGCAACATGCGAGGTGTAGAAAATACCAAAATACCAAAATACCAAGAACAGCTAGGCTGCCGGGACCACTTGCCCAACCGCATCACACACACAAGCACACACAAAAAAAAAAAAAATGTTATTTTATTATTATTTTTCTAAATGGTAAGTTTTTTTTTCTTTTTTTTTAAGCCCTTGAGCTTTGTTTTTTTTTGCTATTTTTAAAAAATGGTAAGGGATTTTTTTTTATTTTTTTTTTTTTAAGCCCTTGAGCTTTTCATAATACAAGCCGGGAAATTGTTTAGGGAATTTCTGTTCTTGTAGAAACATGGAGGCATAATCTTGAAACGGTTTTCACCTTTTAGCAGTAGCGAATGCAGATTCTAGTTCTCACCTTACCTGTGTACAGTATCTGTGTCGACCCCGAGTGTTTGAACCCGTGACCTGTGTTTTGACAGTTGTTGTTGTCTGTCATAGGTCTGTGTAGTGGTAGGGGTTCGATCTGTAGGTCTGTCGAGTAGGAGTCACAGCCCTGTAGAGGTCGTAGCTGTAGGGATCCTGAAAGGTCAAGGTCGTAGCTGCTACAATCCTGAAAGGTCAAGGTCGTAGCTGCTACAGTACCCGAAAGGCCAAGTCTGCAGACTTCCGGAAGGTCCCGGAAGTGGCCTTTCGGAGTGGGCTCACGTTTAGGCAGAGAGGCAAGTGGGCAAGTGGTGGAGCCAACCTCAGTACGTTGGCAGTGCGACTGCAGTGAGTCTGTGGTGCAAACCCATGCAGTCCGCGGTACCGGTCCCGTCAGTCCCAGTCCAGTCCAGCAAGCACCAAGAGGGACTGTGTGCACCATGGGCCCGGTAGAAAGGGGCAGACCAACGAGTTACGGAAGTATAAATCAAGAGACAGCGCTCGGCCATACATTCATTCGCTGCGTAAGCCATGCGGAAGCGCTGCCATAGCGACTTCTGCGAGGTGGGCTGCAGTGAGCCCGGAGACGATGTGGGCGAGAAGGAAGCTTAGCCATAGCGATAGGGTAGCAGCGGCCATAGCCGCCATAGCTGTAGATGTGTGCGGGTGTGTGTGAGTGTACAGAGTGTGATGTGTGTGGGATATCCAGGGTGATCCTGTGCGCGAACAGCTGTGTCGAGTAAATGACGAACAGAGAGTTGCACAGGCGATGTGCCGCCATAGCCGTTCGAAGTGAACTTGTATTCTGAACCGAGTCCTTGGTACTATATCTCTGAGTTCTGAGTGGGCGCTTGACGCCAGTTGCTGCGCAACCTGTTTGCATACATGTGAAGTGTGAATGAAAGCGAGTCTGATTGCAATCCCTACGTTTGAGGACATTGATTTAGCGCTCGAGTACATTGCGTAGGTCCTTTGGATTCTCTACCACGACGAATTTATTGATTCATTCAATTTCATTGTAGGCATATGTTTTTTTTTTTTTTTTTTTTTTTTTTTTTTTT